ATTATTTTTATTACATTGACCTTTCAGCCGTTCCTGGCTAACAATACAGAAGTTACAATGATGCAGCACACAAGCACTCATGTTACCATATCAACTAACATAAAACTGACCTTTAGTCTTTACAAAGTAACCTGTCTTGGCTGTGTTTTAGTAGACTTGTATTTTGTAAAATACAGTCACATTTCAATTATTATACATTATATATGTAGATAGATTATTGCTATTTAGAAATAAGTTATTAAACTTATTTTTCTTAAAACATAGAACAGTAAATAAAGAAGTAAAGCAAACAATTATCTCTTCTATTTATGGCCTCTATACTCGGTTGCTGCTTATCGTAGGTTGATAACCCTTATAAAATTTTAAACATGGAGGATATGAAACAAAATAATTTTTTTAGGTTTTCTATATACATTGAAATAACCAAAAATCATAAATTACAATATCAATACCAAAGAACAGTAGTTCAATAACATTTTGAATGCAAGTTAACAAATGCAATGATATGGGCTTTCACCCGTGACCCATCTGAAAAAGATTAAATAAAACTTCTGTCACACTACCAACAATGATTTTGTAAATTTCAGTATTTGTTCTATTCTGGCATTTTGATTATTTTCCATACAAATTTTGCCTTAGTGAAAATCAACTATCTCATAAAACTATTATAAAACAAATTTAGTTATCACATGGACCATAAAACCAACTGTATCACAGTAATTATGATAGTACATGTATGGAGGCTACACATATAAGCCAAGTAACAAATATATTGAGTTTTTACAAACTTATGTATTATGCTCACTTCTCCAAGATCTTATCTCGTTTAGATTCCAGAAATGTTTCCAACTGCAGGGAAGGTTGAGTGAGGAAGGCAACAGCAAGGGTAAAATAGTTACTCCATAGCTGAAAATGAACATTTGTAATCACAAATGATGGCAAGAGGTACTTTAATATTTTTACATAACTGCATAATTAACAATGTAATATTCTGAATTCAATTATAACAGGAACTTCAAAAGAAGTAAACTGATTTTTTTATATTATTAATGATTACAGAAAGTAGCACTCACAATCTCAAACTAAACTCACATTTATCAACATAAAAATCTTTATAAAAGAGTATAACAGAGAAATGGGGTAAAAAAATAAATTCCACTAATTCTAAAGGAACATTTAGATCTGATTTTCATTCTTTAACAAGTACACTAAACACAAAAATGAAAATAGGTTATGCAATTCTAAAAGGAATATTCTAAATATACAGTGTTGTACCACAAATATAACATGCCTTGTTAAACTGAGACAAATTAACAACAATACCATACAGTGTTAGTCCTTAGGCCTAACATATTTAAGAATGCAATTTAATACATTCCAATTCAACATCACTGAATACCCATACATTACTGATTATGTTTCCTTGTAATAAACGCTTGTGTTATTTTATATTCAATATGCCAATATCAAGAGTCTACTTAAGTTTAATAGATAGATCCAACATTAGGTTAATGTCAATTTACTCCACATTAGACTTAAACATATACTAGAAGCTTTAAAAGATAATTTTACTAATTTTTACCAAGCAAATAAATTCAAATCACTTTACATGTAGCAAATTAATGACTGACTTCTTAAAAGTCAATAGCGTGCTTACATTTAACAAACAACAGGCTCAAATTATAAAACAATAACAATGTCTTTATACTGAATAAATGATTGATTTTATTCATCATGAATAGTATTTTTAAATGAAACAAAGAAATGACTTATTCAAAATCAGTGATATCGTAACTTAACTAATATTCAATGATTTACTGTATTACAATAAACACTTAATTCACTATACTGAACTTAAATCATGCTCTTACATATCTAAAAATATCATCTCACCTTATTTAATGTTATGATATATATACACACACACACACACAGAGGGAAGGTACATTCTTCTGTGTTAAACAAATTTCCAGCAAATTCACACATTTTTCAAAGCATTTCATTTAAATTCTCAAAGTAATCATTTTCTTTCAAACCTTATGCTACTATAGTACAGCTGAGAAACAAAACACATTAGTAAATGTTAGAAAGTCAAAAGGTTTTTTTCACAGTAGCCCAGCCTCTTCAGGACATTCAGGTAATAATTTACTAAAAACTTTATACATGATACCAACAGAATTCTTGAATTAGTGCAGAATATGCACACTTTCTCAGTTTCAAAAAAAAGAAGAGTCATCAATATATGCATAAATATTATATCGTCTTTCTCATTAACACTCTAGTATTTTGTTATTATTTTCAAATAGATTCTGAATCTCTTGAGGTTAGCATATTAACACATTCACATTTATCTTTGGTCTATATATTGAAATTATTGAACATGTCTAATCTTTTTCAATAAAGTCTTCAGAGCTGTCTTATATTAGCAATGACTACTTCTTGCATAGGCATTTCATACTTGTGTTGAAGATTTTCCTCATTAACTTCTTTAATTCTTTTGCTGAAGATAAGTTTGCTCAGAAAATGAAATTTTTCTTGGCAGTAACCTGGTTTCTTAGCCATCAAAACAATAGAAGTTAATCAGTAATGGCCTGAGAAGAAACTTTGTTAGTTTCAACAAGCCACATTTTAAAGTCCAGATAGAACTCCTGACATTAACTTATTTTCTTTGTTGCAAAGCATTTTTTCACTTTATCAATTGCACTGAATCCAATATTACTATTCCTGCACAGTTTATGTGATATTTCATTCGTGATAGAGATTTTCAGGAGTTTTGATAAACTGTCTAAAGTCTTGGTGTAAAGGTTCATAAGTCAACATACATACCAGCCTCCCCAAATCAGTGTATAGAAATAGTAAAACAAAAAGATCTTTTTAATATTTGAACAGAAATGTCTTGATGTGCTAAATAACAGAGATATAGAAACACTATCTTAGTAAAGTCATTAAATAACTGTGTGTCACTCTTGACAACTTCAAATAATTTTGTTTTGGCACCTTGTAGTTTGCAGTTTAAACATACTGCAATACTATGTAGTCCTTTCAACAAGTGGAAAGGCTTTCAGCAGTTATGACACTGCTTTTAGGAATCCATCTATATCTCTTGTCAACAGCTTTTGATTCAGTCTTGAAAACTTCATGCACAAAGTGTGTATAAAAAATTACAATTAATAAATACGACTAAGACAAGATCATTATTTTTCAATATATATATATATATATATATATATATTAATTATGGAGTAATTGATATTCAAAATACAAATAATGAAGTAGAATAAAATAATAGGGTTATTCTTAGGTCAAAGTAAAATCAATCAGGAAAAATAACCATT